CAATGGAGCATCTCATGACCCAAAAAATCTTTCATGACACACAAGAAATTACTTTGGCAGTCACCTCACGTCATAGGAAAGAAAGAATTCTCCAGATGATGGAGACATGAAAAGGCCCATTTCCCTTGTCACAAACTCTATGCATTTAGGCATTGAGTTGGTAACTGCCATTGCAATGCTACTTGCTAGTTATGCTGACAATTTTCAAACCTTAGTGAAGCCATTTTGTCCCTAATGACCTGCAATATACTGTGTAGTGTTGAATCTTGGTCCATGAATTGATTCCTGAAGAGCCTATTGTTCCTTTCCCTCCATAAGTAGTAGACAGTAGTTTGGAGGCTTAATTTCTTTAACACGGACAATAAAGACTTGCCTTTCCAAAGGAGTGCAGCCCAATGAATAAAATCTGTCTAGGATCAATCTATATTGCCAAGCTTGAAAGCTCATAGTCATAAGCTTGATCCAAATAACCTATGAATAAGAACAGTCAAAAAATAAGTGAGAGTGAGTCTCAATAGCCCCTCTACAAAGAATGCAGTCAACTCCTATGTTAGGATTAAATAATTAAATCCTATCTTTTGTACTCAATCTCCCCTTAACAGTCACCCACGTGATAAAACTCATTCTAGGGATTGCCTGCTTAAATCGCACAAGCTTGAACCAAGGCACTTTCAAATTAGAGCTCTTTGTTGGTTTTTTTTTATGGAGTCTAGTTTGTATATGTGATCCGGATGATGACCCGACCTGAAGTAATGTTGTGTGATTTGTTAATGAAAAATTTTATGAGGCTTAGTCCATGAAGCGAAGGCTTGGGCCGATAGGCCCAAGCCGTAGCGCTCATGGACAAGCCTCGTGGGGGTTCGGGGGCAACGTCCCGAGGAAAATTTTTGGGCCCGTTATACAGCCCAATGTGTAGGACATATAAATCCTGTTGTTTTGGTGGTTAGGGTTAATCGTGGATTGTACAGCCGTTCTCTGTATTCAACTCTCTCAATAATGAAATCCCTGCAGATTCGTGGACGTAGGCAAATTGCCGAACCACGTAAAATCTGTGTCTTGTTCTTTCTTGTTTTTTATTGCTTTATATTCTTGATTTGTTCTTCGATTGTGTGTATTTGTTAGTGAATTTAAATCGTGTTAAATCCCAACACTCTTGATAGTTTCCTAAGCAGAACCAGTTATGAACTTCCCACTTATACTAGGATTCCATTTAACTCTATCCTTTCTTGCTTGATTAGGAACATATGTTGGCATTGAGTTCACTATTTTCCTGATTTCAGCAGTTATGGCCCTAGGCCAATGCCATTGGTTGTTGGTCATGATGCAACTCATTTTTGCTTCCCTGGGTAATCTAGAATCTGCGATGATCCTGGGATCCCAATTCATTATGAGGGGCCCATAGGGATGCCAATTATCATACCAAATACTAGTGGATTCTCCATTCCCAATCAAATGGGTAAGGTGTGGTCTAAACAAGCTCCTTGCTTTCAGTAGATTTTGCCAGTTCCATGAGTTAGTGCTACAGCACTTTACTACCCAAAGGCTTCTACCCTTTAGGTGATAAGCATGGATCCACTTGGTCCATAAGTTCTCTTTATCATTGAACAATAGCCACAGATACCTCATCATGAGAGCAACATTACATTCCTTTAGACATTTATACTCAAACCTCCCTCCTGTTTTGGTATGCATATCTCCTTCCATACTACTTTTACCCCAGATGTTGGCAACTCAACCCCTTTCCATAGAAAAGCTCTCATTATCTACTCAACCTTATCCAACACTTGAATTGGTAAGCTAAGATGGGACGACTAAAAAATGTGGATACTACCGAGCACAAATGATATCAGTTGCATCATCCTTGCATATGAAAGAAACCTATTTGTCCAGCTCTGGACTCTACTTTCAATAAGTGGGAGCCAGTGATTAGCCCTCAGACTAGTAGAAATCAAAGGGGTCCCCAAGTACCTAATGGGAAGGTTGCCTTTAGGGAAGCCAAATAAATCTATAATTTGCTCCGTGTCTTGAGTATCAATAGCTGCCATGAATAAAGAACTCTTCTTGGGATTAGCTTGTAATCTTGATAACAATTTTGTTAGAGTATGTGTGGCTCATATTTGCTGTGTGCATAATGGCAAGGAGGCAGATGCCGGAGCGGGTGGAGCGTAGCGGAGTGGAACGAAGCGGAATGTAGCGGAGCAGAGCTCGCGACGGCATCTATCTTGCGGGATTTATATAAAGGAGACGCTAATTAGTTGGGGGAACGGGGGCAACGCCCCCGCGGTACGGTACAGGGGTATTTTTGTAAATACGTCCATATTATGGTTATATAAATACTTAAGATGTAACCCTACTTCAATTATGGAAAAGAACGGCCGCTCGCTCTCGTGGATGTAGGCACATTGTCGAACCACGTAAATCTCTGTGTGTTATTTTCTCCTGCTTTCTTAATTGTTTGATTCCTTACTATTCACCATAATTGCTGCACGATCACAACACAATTGAAATTGGTTCAAAGTCTCCTTTAATGTCGTAGCAGATTGAATATCCCCATAACAGAACATCAGTAAATCATCAAAAAATGTGAGGTGACATAAATTCAACTTTTTGCACCTCCAATAGAACTTAAACTGAGTGTTGGAGCTGATTCTTTGTTTTGTTGACAATGAGAGGTCCTCCATAGCCAATACAAATAGGTAGGGAGACAAAGAATCCCCCAGCCTTAGCCCCCTTGCACTATGGAAAAATCCTTCAAGTTCTCCATTAATGTTCACTGAGAACTTAGGAAATGCTATACAAGATCATATCCAACTCCTCATTCTTGCAGGAAAATTGAAAGCTTATAATGTGTCAATCATGAACTTTCAATCAATGGTATCATAAGCTTTCATGATATCAACATTTATAGTACATCTAGGTGAACCCATCTCCTTGTGATAATCCCTTATAATCTCTTGTGCCATGAGAATGTTATCACTTATCCTCCTCCTTGGTATAAAGGCTGACTGGTTAGAGTTGATAATGTCATTCAAATACTTTTTATTCTATTAGAAATGATCTTGGAGATTGCTTTGTAGATCACATTGCAGCATAAAATAGGCTTGAACTCACCCATAGTTATGGGATTTTGTACTTTGGGTACCAAGGTGATGATGGTATTGTTGAATTCTCTCAACATGTTCCCACTGGTAAAAAAACTCTCTAATTGTAGCAATAACATCTCCTCCTATCACTGGCAAAGCCTTCCTATAGAAGTAAGCATTGAAGCCATCAAGTCTAGGTGTTTTTTAGTCATTAAAAGATAAAAAATATCTCCCTTATCTCATCGGCAGAAACCTCTCTTATCATGTCTTCTAACTGCTATTCATTTAGTTTTTGTTGCTCCATGGAATATAGAATTCTTTTCCTTGCTTGCCCACTAACAATAGAGCTTTTACTTCCAAGCAGTTGCTGATAGAACTTCACAACTTCCCTCTTCACTGCTCTGTCTCCTTCAATTGTGACCCCATCTTCTGTTTGGAGAGATAGCATTTTCTTTATGTTCCTCTTAGTCATGGTCTTGAAGAAGTATGATGTATTTTTTGTCTCCCTCCTTCAACCACAATACTCTTGATTTCTGTTTGAAAAAGGATTCTTCATTTCTTGTCGCATTGGAGTAGCTAGCTAAAAGTTGTCTTTCTTAGACTCTGAGGCTAAAATCCATTGGATTAAGAACTAAGCTGTTTTGGCATCTTTCCAAAGCCTCCTTTGCTTCCTTTGAAATTGCAGAAACTTCTCCCACCTCTTTACTTCTAGTTTTGAAAATGACCTTTAGTCTCTTGAGTTTGCAGCTAAGCTAGAACTGTAGTGTTCCTTGAATGGGTTCCCTCCAGATCCCTTCCATGGTAGTTAAAAAGTCATCCCTTTCTGCCATAAAGTTAAAAAACTTAAAGGGGCTCTTTCTTTTCCTTGTTTCTTGTCCAATTTTGAGAATGGTAGGGCTATGATCTGAAGCACCTACAATTAGAAAAACTGATTCTGATTGTTGAAAATTAATGTTTCACGCTTCATTTACCATCACCATTTCCAAGCTTCTTGACAATACACCCTTCCACAATTCTGTTATTACACCATGTAAATAAGCAGCCAGAAAATCTTATGTCCTCTAACTCTACTTGTTGAAGACATTCATCAAAGTCTTCATTTGATTGGCTCCACCTGCCTGAACATCCCATTGATTCTTGGGTGTTCCTAATGGCATTGAAATCCCCTAGGATAGTCCATGGGTTGGAAAAGAACAACCTAGCATGATAGATAATGTTTCTTCATAATAGCCTTCTCTCTTGCTCATCATTTGACCCATGTACAAAAGATACATAGAATTCCTCCCTTGTCTCTTGATTATGTACAGAGCAATGAATGATTTGCTTTGTTTTAGCAATCTTATTCATTCTAACGATTTTTGGATTCCACCCAATCCATATCCTACCCCTCATATGACTATTGTAGTTGTCCATGTACTCCCAATGTCTAAACACCGCTATCATAGCAACTTCTTTATTAATTCCCCTAATTTTGGTCTCCACGAGACCAATCATATCCAACTGTTGTTCATTAATTAGTTTCCTGACTTCCTCATGTCTCCAAGTTTTATTCAGCCCTCTTAATTCTAGCAAGCCAACTTAAACATGAGTAGAGAATTTGGAGTTTAGGTGCTCCATCACCCTTGTTTTCCCTTCTTTAGAGGTTTTCTTTTTAACTTTCTTTTTCTTCACCACTCCTAGATGTACTTTAACTTCTAGTTCAGGTCCATTGGCTTTAAGGTCTTTCCCACCATTATCAAGTTTTCTAGAAGGTGATAAGTCAACTATGATTTCTCCCCCTTCCAAATTTAGACTCTCAAATTTGTTTGGGGATTGAAGTAGCTGTTTTGGTTGTTTAACCCTTTTACTAACATTATTATTATTGTCATCAATAGCAGTGATGATAGAATCACTTACATGATCTTCTCCTTTTGCTCTCTACTCAATTGATTGTCTTTCATTTCCTGGATTGGGAAGAGTGTTGGTACTAGCCATCTCTTTACTCTCTTGACTTATTGGGTTGGCTATAGCTTCCCCAATATGCATTGCATCTTCCTCAACTACCCCATTCTGCATTACAGGTTCCACCACTATCATGGTGTGTAATATTGCCTTCCCTTTGTTCTTGTAGTTTGCTAGTTTCCCCATTGTCTTAGAAGCCTCCTTGACTAGATGGTGGGGATTCATTTCCTTTTTTGAGCACATTGGTCCATTATGTCCAAACACCATACAATAGTGGTATACCTTAGGCCTCCATTGGTATTCCACCATTATTTCTACTATCTCAGTCCTTCTATTCACGTCTAATTTCAAATCAAAGGCCTCCACCAGTTCCTTGGATGCATTCATTTCAATGAATATTCTAGCAAAGTTGAGCCTTTTCCTGCTAGAAGTTAATGTATTTGCATACAAAAGGTGTCCACTGCACTAGCAATGTGGCTAAATCCATCCTCATTCCAAAATTGTAGTGGAATATTGAACAATTTGACCCATAGTGGCACAGTTGAATGGTCCTCCTTCGTGATTAACAGGTTTGGTGCCCATTTCTTCAAAATTAGGGGTCTCTCTAAGCATAACCATGGTCCAGCTTCAAATACCCCTGTTCTAGACTTGTCATCTATAAACTTGAAATAGTAAAAACCATTTCCATTGGCAAACACCTCTAACATACCCATTATATCCCACACCTTGTGTTTAATGTAGTTGATAGTAGAGAAGGATAATTTCTTCTCTATGAAGTATCCTACAAGGCAATTCTTTCATTCAAGGCTACCTTGGATGCTTATCTCCTTTGGTGGTTCCACAACAATTTGATCATCTTGCATACTAGGTTTGTGAAACTTCAATTTCATCAACAGTTGTTGTTTGTTTGTGGTTTGGTCTCCATCCAACTAGTTTCCCCTATTGCTTGATTGCAAAATTTGGCTCCAAGAGCCCTTAGGTAAAACCTTGCTCTATTGGTCATTACCCCCTGACTTCATAGATTGATGATTTGGCCTTTTGTGGTATGTTAGATTACCTTTCAATAATCTAGCATTTGTGAGCACCTCCTTGGCTTGAATGAGGTCCACTGTCTGCCTCCTCTGTTCTCCCTAGGTCACCACACCTAATTTCTCACCTACTTGTGGTTGCCCAGATCCATAGCATTGGTTGATAGCCTTGCTTACGTCCAACGTTGGACATATTTCATTCGCATTAACCTCACTGCCATTTATGACATCTAAAGTAGCTCTTCTTGTACTAAGTGGATCCATTAATGTAGTAATTGGGTTATTTATGGATTAGCTTTTAGGTGGTGGTTAAAATGTATAAACATGAAGTGAAATGTGTTAAAGATTGGTTGAAAAGTTGTTGACAGAGACGAGAAAGAGACAAAGGGAAAATGGTGGAAAATGTGAGGTGTGTGGAAGAGAAAGTGGTTAAAATACTTATGGGTAAAAAGCCAAAGAGACAAAAGGGACACGGTGAGAGTATGAAATAGTGAAAGGGAAATGGGTTGGTATCAGATTTGCAATAAGGCAAACAGACTTAGTGGAGATTCGACTGGGTAGGTTTCACGATGGCTGAGAACGAAGAGCACCCATCGAACCAAATGGATGGACCACAGTCACTACACTTGTGTGCAATGTAGTTGACAGTAGAGAAGGATAAACAATATCTATCTGCTCGACTATCAAGCAGTTGTCGATTTGCAGAGTAGAGGGTGGTGTGTTCCTGGAGAAGGATGCTAGCATCGATCGTTAATCACTAGTCACCTCATATAAACTTCAGGGGATTTATATGTGATATTTTAGGGGATTTGAGTGTAATTCTCCCTTTCTTGTTTTATCTTTTGGGAGAAACACTTCTTGTGGTTAGATCCAGAGCACCCCTTTGGCCCCATTCTCCAAAATAGACTATGGATGATCTGCAACTAAAATGCAATGTTCAGTGGCCTAGTGGAGGATTGCAGAGTATTGTTTAGTGGTTTGTAAGCAATATGAAAGGGAAGAATATGGGGAAAATAATTGGTAGATTAACACTTTCTACCTTGGTTTATTATATATGGTTGGAAAGGAACTGAAGAACCTTCAGAAATTCTTACAAAGATATGTTTCTGCTATACTTAAAGACATTGTAGAGTGCATAAGACAAAAGCTCCATCTGAGTAAAGGCTATGGCCAAACACCTTCAAATCTATGGCTGCAAAGGCAATGGTTACTCCCTGATTCAATTTTTGAGCCCTCTGTGTTGTATCCACATGGACAGTGGTGTAGGATTGCTATCAATGTTGTGATGCTTATTGATGTTATTGCAAGAAAGCCCAAATATGTTCCCTTGTATCCTTGTAATTAAATATAGTTTATCATCTTTGTAATTAAATATAGTTTATCATCTTTTGGTTGGGATGGTTGGTCTTCTACATCTGGTTATATCAACTGTCACCCCTTTGCCCTTTTTTTGGATGTAGTTATAAATAGGGTGTATCATTGTATATGGATCCTCTTAATTAATAGAATTGATCATCTTACCTACCAAAAAACAATAATCAATCACAACCTAGCTCACGCATGAACCATCCCTAGGGTCTTGTGCCCTAGATACTTATCGTCCTTCTTGTTTTTAGGGGGACATATAAGGTACAACTTCTGACGCCACAAAATCTATGTCAAGGCAAAATCACTATCAATCACTGATTCGCCCTAGGGCTAGTAGTCGCCTTGAAAACTCTTACATAAGACTCCAACCGTCTACTAGCTCTCTACCTACTCATATTGAGTAAGCAAGTATTTAACAGTCAACAATTTGACATTCAAATAATCCCTTTTCAAAACTCAAAGTCATAGTCGTCGTATTAAACTCATTTAGGTACCATGACACTCTTGTTTCCCCGGATGCTCCTATCCACACTACTCCCAAGTGCACAATTCATGGCATGATGTGGCTCAAGATGGAATGACCCCATCCATATTCCAAACATATAGAAATCCCTAAATTTTAACTTTTTCATACATAACAAATCCACCCTTTTTAAGAACATTAGTAATATAAAGCACAACCTGTTATGATCGTGCAACAATTATGGTGAATAATAAGGAATCAAACAACTAAGAAAGTAAGAGAAAATAGCACACAGATTTACGTGATTCGGCAATGTGCCTACATCCACAGAAGCTAGTAGCCGTTTTTTTCATTATTCAAAGTAGGGTTACATCTTAAGTATTTATATAATCCTAGTACGGACGTATTTACAAAAATACTCCTGTACCGTACCACGGGGGCGTTACCCCCGCACCCCCAACTAATCAGCGTCCCCCCCATACATAAAATATATCAATTCCGCTGCGGCATCTACCTCCTTGCCATTGTGCACACAGCAAATATGAGCCACACATACTCTAACACAAACCAAATTTCAAAACTTGTATATCTTTCAAACCCCAATATCCAAACAATTTTCATGCATGTTATTTCATAAAATAAAGTACTTTTGATAGTTTATTTTGAAGATAATATACTCTATATTTAAATAAAGTATGGGATCTTACACTGAGTTTACATGATGAGTTTACCGTCACAAACCTCTCGATAGTTTGGTGAATGCACACATCGAATAGTAAATACAGAGATTATAGCCCTCATGTCATGGCTACTTCTCAACGAGCATGTGTACTCTCTTTTCAGCTTCTATACTTGGATTAAAGAGATGAAAAAAAAATTGTCATACCACTAGACTGTACAATCAATCAGCCATCATGTTGCCTTAAGTGGGTTCATGTCATAAACTCTCATAAATGGTTCAATTTCAGCACGACATGAATATCTAATCGTCAAAATCTTTAATCCTAATGCGGTTTATTTATCACACAGGTAAAATACTAAATGACACGCGTAATTCATTTAGTAAATAAGCCATGTTAGGGTTAGACAGGTTAGAATCATATCCTTGGATGAAAATTACAAAACTAATGAATTCATGATGAAAAACCATGGGTTAGATGGTGCCATGAAGTATGTTAACATCATGAGTCACACTCATATTTCATAGAAGTGTCAAACCAGTTAGTAAAATTTGAACACGACATATTTAACAAATGAGTCGATCGGATTAGTTAACGATATAAAAAACTTCTTTTAATCCAAAATTCCTACTTTTGTATCCGTTTGAATCATATTTAAATATCATAAAGGAATTTAAGAAGTTAGGTAGGTCAAGAGCTATAATACACCAAGCTATGAACTCATTGCTGCTACCCTACATTTGTCCTATGTCACTAACTTCCATAAATGATTGTCCATCCTACATATGAGAGCACTTTAATTTGTCGAATACGATGTATATCACCCAAGTTAATTGCTTCTACCATCATCTTGTCATCCTTTGCTTAAATTTGTTGATAGTTAGATTAATAACATATCCAGCATATAACATTATTCATACTTATTTTCGACTTCAGCATATCTTTTCCTTGTTACCAATGCAGATCAAATTCTTCACCCCAACTTGCTTGCTGTGGTAATCTAATGACACCATATATGATCATCAATCATTTCCAAAATCTCTGACCTAGCTGCAGTTTTCGGGGTTTGCAAGACACTTTAATTTCGTATTTTCTTTCTTTCTTTGTGTTCATATTCATATACTTTCTCAACACATTTCACTACTGCATCTTCTTACTCATGGCTTTAGGTTCAAGCAAGCTCAATCTAAAATAGAAAAAGGTCTTGGAAGTTACTAAAACTATCAAAGATCAACATTTTTCTTGTATTCACGAGAAGAAAATCTTCGGCATATCTACCGTGAGGACCACATCGATGCGGACGGGTACAACCTACCTACTTCTTATTTCACACTAGAGGGTGTTAAAATAGGGTTTTATTTTATGCCAGCATATCATCCACTAGTGTTTAACTAATTAAAGTAACAAAATAACCAACAGAGAAGTTTATGAAAATCGATTTCCTATTAATGGTTAAACATTTAAAGGATGCTAAAGTTTCTTTCATAGACTAGGTTGGTTTTTTTCTTTTCAAATGCGCACTTTGAGCATCTTACCTTTGAGACCATCCTCCGTGTGCTCCTTAGGGTTTTATCGACCCTTTTTTCACATTATTCCTTCAACTATCATGTTTTTTATATTTCACCCTTAATTATGTGATTAATTTTAAATTATCCTAATTATTAACGTCCGTTATATATTTAATCGAAAGTTATTTCATTTTTCCAGCCGAACTATATAATGTTTTTTTCACTTTGCCTTGACACATCGGCAATTTTCGTTTAAAAGATTATAAACTTATTGCGATTGGGGCAATGAAATAATTTTAGTAGGTCAAAGTGAAAAATTTAATAGTTAAAGGGCAAAGTGAAATCGAGTCCATAATTTAGGGGATCAAAGTGCAATCTCTCTCTCTCTCTCTCTATGTATGTATGTATGGCTGCAGCAGTACCCTAATCAAGTAGGTGGAACAATTGCACAATTATTTGGCTTATATTCAGCAGAGTTTCACAAAATTAACTTATTATTATTAAAAATTGAGTTCTTACACAATCAAGTAATGAAAAGGCATGATATCATCCTCTATTAAACATTTTTCTTTCATTATGAGATTTCATAAGCCGAAAGACGAAAAATTGAAACAACAATAGAACTCATAGAAAATGTTGTACTTTATTCACATTGAATCAGCAGATAAACAATACAAAGTGCATGTCCAAAGTCTTATGAATACCAAAGTTCTCTTAAGAAGGGACCACAAATGATGTTGAAGGTTGCAAGACTTGAATGCATGACCTAATCCCATAAATGCTCAAAAAGTCTTAACCTGTCTCAATCACATTTCCTTAATCATTTCAAACTACTATGGGAGTCTATTGTACATATTTCCTTAATCACTTCAAAGTACTATTTATCCTATGGGAGTCTATTCTTTACTCTCTTTTTTTTTGTTAGACTCAATTACAAGGAGCACCAAGAGATGACGAAATTTGGACTCCCGACCTTAATGTTCAACAACGAGGGGGTTATCACTAATCTCGAGAATCAAATTTATTACTGTTCTTTCTCATCTTGCTGAATGTGAATTTCCACCCAAAAGATATTTTTTTGTGGAGGGGGGGGGGGGGCAGGGTTATGGCAAACGTGGGTTTTTTTTATGGCTGATTTTTCAGAAACTTTTTCCCTTTCTTAGGTTCCACTTTGGTGTAATGCCAAATTCTTTAACAGTGGAAGTACCAAAGGAGGCAAAAATTAGTTGTATGATGTAAAATCCA